TATTGATTATATATATAGCAAATGACATAACTTATCTGCATTTAGATCTGTAGCAAAATTTTAAAAATATTGATGTCAGATGGTATCAATAGTCAATACCCTCAATTCTCCACAAGATTTAAATAAATCAACATTTCAGTTATTCTGTACTAAAAAATGTTTATTGGTTTGTAAATGCGAAGTGGCTGAATAACTTCTGGCATTAAAATGAAACTTGTTTTTGCTGGGTAAAAATATTTTCATAGAACGTGTAGAAAATGTAAATTTTAAAAACTATTTTTCATTGTTCATCCGGATTTGGTACAAGTTACTACCAATAAGTAATGCACAACAATTCTATCTTTAGTAATGTACATAAACATTCTGTACACTTTAAAGTCTGATGTTAAAGCTGATGCCAAACCGGTATCATTGTTTCAGTTCAATGGAAGCAACTTAATGTAACGGTATTCAAGCAAATCAATTATAACTCATCATCAAGGATTATTATTTAACTTATATATGTAAGCATATACATTGTTGTCTCCATCTAGTATATATTGGATGTTAAATGATTTTGTGAAACTAGTTTTTGATTTTTTGATTTTGCTTTTTTCGAGCTTTGATAAGCAGGAACTAAAACTAGACACGTTAAATAATAACAAATTAATTAATGAAAAGAGCAAAACGAGGGAGATAGAATGGAATTAAACACGACACGGGTAGCCATACTGTTGCGCCATTTAAAATGATGACGTATTAGCTTTGTCCATGACTTATCTGACTGACCCCGCCAGTAATAAAGCGTTATAGTCCACAAGTGATATACATATATATCACTGAATGAAAAGTTAAGTATATTGTATATTCATTAGTATGTCAAAGCAAAACTCAAACACACATTATGCACTATCAGCCATGCCTCCAAGAAACTAAACAGCGTTTCATTTGAATGTAAAATGCCGATAGTTCCTGTCGAAATTTTCTATCCATAAAACCGTATACAATTGGATTAATAGCATTGTTAAGGAAAATCATCCAAATTATAAAGTAAGACAGAGATCCATTATTATCCACAAAGTTTTGATAGAGAGGTGGGTTGATATTCCTAATTACGGTGGTTAAGAGGTAAGGGAGATAAACACCGAACGAGATAACGGACACCACTAAGAAAACTTTAGTAACATTTCTACTTTTGACAAGCTTCTTTCTTTTCCTTTCATGCATTGATTTTAGAAATGCCTTTTCTTTTTCAGTTGACTGTCCGACTTTGTCACTTTTACTCGCCACCGAGTTATCTCGCTTCATGTCTGGGTCACGTGCAGCTGTGGACATAACGTAGCTGTCTGTAGTAATTTCTGAGTCTGGACTGGAATGTACTGGTGTGATTGAGATTGTGGTATCACTATATACGACATCCGGCTGCGACGTTAGGTGTTTTGTTCTTTGAGGGATACGTGTAGTGATATTGTTTTTCTGATGAATATATATCCTTCTACCAATCAAAATGTACGACACAATTGAAATTGTGATGCTGGTGACAAACGTTAATAACATAAACCCTCCGTAGACCCGTACAAACATTGATTTCTTCAGCTGATTCAACACTGAACATTTATAACCGGGCAATGAATGAGTCTTTGTTGTCTGCTGATTAACACCAAAAATCATAAATCCCGGGATGATGAAGACTATGAGCATGACGATAAAATTTAATCCACAGAGCACGCGAGTTGTTCGCTGGCTAAATTGGACACGAACTCTCTGACATACTTTCCTATAACGTTCCACAGCTATGAGATTCAAAAAAAGCAAGGAGTACGTTCCTACAATATTCATGGTTGTGAAGTACAACTTACAGAAAACAGAAGACTGCACCGAGTAGATGTTTCTGATAATATACAGTGAGGCTGGAATGCAGAACGTGCATCCTACAAAATCCACTGCAGTCAAACACAGTACCAACTTTTTGTACATATTTGCTTTGTATCTGAGCAAATAAACCAAAAACACGTGAACATTTCCAATCGTCCCCAATATACATGAGAGTATCAGAAAAGCCGTGATGGGAATCCCGGATCTCACGAATTCATCATAATCCTCCTGTTCTAAAGTATACGACGTATTCATCGACGAATTCATCTTATTTTCAAAATTTGAAAATTCAGCGCTGATGCCCTCAAAGCAAAAGTCACACAGTCTATGAACATACGATGTGTTAATGAAGTATATAAAATCACCGATCATAAGTTCAGGAAATTAAAATAATTAGTCATCATCTGGTAATACGATACTTAAACTATCTTCGGTTTCACTTTCAGATATATTGATGACCTCTTGTTTTTGAACAAGAGGTCACGTCAATCCTACATATCCTTAAGATATGAAAATTAAGGAAATGATATCCGCCACTAGACCAGCCTCTTCTCTTGATACTTTCGTTCCTCGGAACCACATGGACTGCTTACCACAAAGCGTGGTGATTTTAACTCCCCTATTGTGAATTTTCAATTTCTGCAACCCCAACTTGTTAAAATGTTTTGTCGATGAGGGCGTTTTACGGTCGCGATAGGTATGTGATTGAGACATATTTTCTCTTTTTCGTTGTTTTATACCTTGTTCTTATTTGAAAACGTAACCTTACTTGATTTGATAAATATTTACATAGCAGATGATGCAGAAAACGCTTACTCTTCCGAAACGCATGAACTAAACCCCCATGTACATTTTCAGGAGTCTACGTGTATATCTGTCTTTTGTTTACATTTTGCCCTAGGTTTATTGAATTTTAGTTTGGTTTGAGAAACAAGTTGGTATTCTTTGATTGTTTTTAAAAGCATCTTTAATTATTACTGTTCTATTTTGTTCTAGCCATTTGGGAGGAAAAGAATTTCATCCGTTGTCATATCTCAATAGATCGGAAGGCTTTTTATATCATTCGAACAAAGAAATACAACAGCCATTGCATTTTTTTCAGGAAGCAAATCATAACATCAATCTACCTATTCATTAACAATATCCTATCATGAGTTTTGAGGTCCGTGTTATTCCAGTTTGTCACAGTATGTTTTAGTAGTCTCTGTATTAGAATTACTTGAACCTCGACGAAAGCACCACGTCGTTTCGTCCTGCAATGACTATTGATGCTAAAGGCCAAACAGGATTCGAAAGTATCAATATTACATGTATATACAAATAAAATGGGATTCAAAGTCCAAAATCCACATCCATAATAGAACCGGTGTACGCCAAATATATCAAATAAAATATATATCTTATTAATATTTCCTTACTGCATTTTACAGAAAATGAAATTAAAAACACTTATGAAATAAAATTCTATATTTGACCTTTATCTTGTTCTGTAATATAACAACCAAGGTACACCTTCTCCGGTTCTAAATCTGACCTTCACCTTGTACTGTTAAATAGCAATCAAGATACTCCTTGTCCAGTTCTATATCTGACCTTCACTTTGCACTGTAATATATTTATCAAGATTCTCGAACACCGGTTCTAAATCTGACCTTTACCTTGTTCTGCAATATAACAATCTAGATTCGCGTACAACGCTTCATGACCTTCACTTTGTTCTCTAATATAACAATCAAGATACTTCTTCTCCGGTTCTATATCTGACCTTCACCTTGTTCTGTTATATAAAAATCAAGATTATTGTACTCCGCTTCTATATCAGATCTTCAACTTGTTCTGTAATATAACAACCAAGGTACACCTCCGGTTTTTTTTTATTTGACCTTCACCTTGTACTGTTAGATAGCAATCAAGATACTCCTTCTCCGGTTCTATATATGACATTCACCTTGTACAGTAAGTTAACAATCAAGATACTCGTTCACAGTCTCTAAATTTGACCTTCACCTCCGGCAAGATTTGCATCCTGGTAATTCTTTTTTTATTTATCCCTCCAGAAACTTATATGTCTGATTCAACCTTCCTTCCTTGAAGTACCAGTAGGCGTAACTGTTTATTCGGACTTATGTATAAGTGAAATGATATATTTATTCCTTTTCTGTGAAGTAAATGTCGATAAATTCTCGGTACTACTATTAAATTTTGCATTTTTCTGATTACCTGTAATTTAAACAATATATATCTATTGCTATGGTCGAAATAACGTAAATTGAATTAATGATGTGCATTAACGTAAACTTTTCAGGTAAGTCAACAATAGCTGTCAGGAAATTGAAACCGAAGCGGTGACACAGTGTCACATCGTCTGCGTGGAACAACCGCACTAGTTTGAGCATAATTCAGGAAGAATATAAATGATTAAACTCAATAAATAAATAACCTATGTAGGAATGTGCAATATAAGTCTTTATTATCAGGTTATTGTACATCAGAATCAAGTCAAGCACATGTAACTATCAATAGCTAGAAGAAAATAATTCTATATATAGTAATAGACACCTCAACAAAGTTGTGGTACATTAAACACTGATGTTAAAACTGATGCAAGCTATCAGTAATTAATGTAATGTTCACTCAAATGACGTCACTTATCGCCAATTAATCAGTAAAGTCTTAGATGAATATATAATAATATATATAGTAATAGACACCTCAACAAAGTTGTGGTACATTAAACACTGATGTTAAAACTGATGCAAGCTATCAGTAATTAATGTAATGTTCACTCAAATGACGTCACTTATCGCCAATTAATCAGTAAAGTCTTAGATGAATATATAATAATATTCAAGTTTTTATGAACATCTTGCCCATTCACTTTCTGTGACATTTTAACCTTTCACTCATTCTCTCTCTCCGTGCATAATACAAATAAGAATTTTATAAAGAAATACGCATTTTGAAATTGCATCTCTTACTCTGTCTGTCTTGCTGGCTGACATATTGTCTGAGTGTTTGTCTGTCTGCCCCTCTCCCCCCATCTTTCTTTGAAAAACAACAATGCTTTTCAATATTGACAAAATCGTTTGGTATAGGTATATATACATAAAAAACGTTCAAAAGATTAAGTGACATGTTTTGCACTTTTAACCACGCCTACAACAAGCAAAACAACAGAGTTTCATTTGAATGTACAATGCCGACAGCTCCTGTCGGAATTTTTTATCCATAAAACCATACACGAGTGGATTAATAGCATTGTTAAGGAAAATCATCCAAGTAATAAAGTAGGGTAGGGGCCCATAGTTAGCTATAAAGTTTTGATAGAGACGTTGGTTGACATTCCGAATCACGGCTGTTAACAGGTAAGGGAGGTAAACACCAAAGGAGATCATTGACACGACTAGAAATACCTTGATAGTGTTTCTACTTTTGTCAAGCTTCTTTCTCTTTCTCTCATTCATTGTGTTAGGTATTGAAGAGACTGCAGTATCTCTTGCCGTGTCCTTTAAACTCGTTGTTTGTGGAGAAATAGCCATATTGTTTTTCTGATGAATGTAGATCCTTCTACCAATCAAAATGTACGACACAATTGAAATTGTTAAGTTGATGAGAAAGGATAGTAGCAGAAACCCTCCATATACGTGTACAAACGTTGAATTCCTCAGATGATTCGACACAGCACATCTATAACTGGGCAGTGAATGAACCTTTGTTGTCTCCTGGTTAATACCAAACATGAAGAATGAGGGGATGAAAAATAAGGTGATCATGGCAACGAGGATTAATCCACAGAAAACGCGAGTTGTTCGCTGGCTAAAATGGGTAGGAGTCTTTTGACATATTTTCCTATAACGTTCCACAGCTATGCCATTCAAAAGTACCAACGATAAAGTTCCTACAAGGTTCATGGTTGCGAAGTACAACTTACAGAAAACAGAAGACTGAACCGAGTAGATGTTTCTGATAATATACAGTGAGGCTGGAATGCAGAACGTACACCCTACAAAATCCACTGCAGTCAAACACAGTACCAACTTTTTGTACATATTTGCTTTGTATCTGAGCAAATAAACCAAAAACACGTGAACATTTCCAATCGTACCAAAGATACATGAGAGTATCAGAAAAGCGGTGATAGGAATCCCGGATCTCACGAATTCATCATAATCCTCCTGTTCTAAAGTATACGACGTATTCATCGACGTATTCATCTTACTTTGACAACTGAACAGTTATGTATCTACAGTAGAAATGAAACAGTTTGTGAGTATTCCTTGCTTCACAATTGAATCATATCAAACAAGTGGATGACAAATGACGCAAAATCTGAAAATGAAAATGTTCTAGTTGTCATCTGCTATACCAATAACAGTAGTAATACGTCTTGATAGGTATCCACTCCTACACATTGTTTCTACGAAATTCACCGCTTAATCAGGAAGGCATTTGTGTGTATCATTACAAAACAAGGAAATGATAGCCCGGACCGGTTTTTATGTAGCCAGATTGCAAAATCGGGGCCATATTGTATTTGTAATATCTGTTTGCTTGTTATCACCATTAACCCTGCCCATAACTATTACACCGTAGAGATTACATATTTGGCATGTATCTTCCTTGTAACAAGACATTTCCCGTGGTACCTAAGGCCTTGACTTTGATCTTTGACCGACCTTTCAAAGATAAAAAACATAATATCCACAATGAAGACATAAGTGTTTCACAAAATGTGCAGACAATTAGCACATGCCTTATACAGTTCAATACATGGTTCAATGGTTTGTCAGTAAGATATACTGTCCCTACGGACGTGGGATTGAATGGTTACATTGAATCACGTGATGTTGACTGTCGTATATCAGTAACAATCGAGTCATAAAGATCTTGAGAGAAAAGTACATTAGTTTAACCTTTGACTTTAGGTTATTCCACTATTGCACCATGTGTGGGTCAAACTAAACTTTAAACTTATAGGAAATTTGCATTTTATAAATAACATCAATGTTAAGAACTTCCTGACTTCCTTGCAAAAGAATCATGATCAGAAAAGTGTTGCGAATCGAAACACAGACCAAATGTCTAAATCCAAACACTGGCCTTAGGTTAACATAGTAATAGTAACACATTATATAAAAATCTCCATTTGGTAGGCTGAGAGATAAGATCAACAGAAACATAGTTTCTTTTTCTTCGGTTTTTCAACTTTATTCAATCAAAAACATTGAAATGATTTATCACATTGTCAAGAACGGAAGTTTTACAGTGAATATCGGTTTCGTTGAAAGAGTACAGACATACATATATTCTCGTTTTCCGCTCGGCAATTGATCACGTGACAATAATAAAGTGTTCAATTTCCGTCGTAAATCAAACATCTTTTTCTAAAATTCGAAAGCATTGTATTACGGATTTTTAAAAAGGTCGACTGAATATTAAAGAGAAACAGTGGACATAGACACGAAACTCTTTACGTTTGTACATCAAAAAAGAAAGAATTAATTTTTTTGGCGTGAATGATCACCGGACGACGGTATAAAAACAGGGTTGTGTTTTGTATCTTAGTTGAAGTTTGGCATTCACAGCGAATGAAAAACTCTCACAGATAATTGCACTAGTGACTAGCAAAAGTAAGGCAGAATATTTGCTAAAAAGCAGAATTCCTTTCAGATTCAAAATGACTTTATTTGACGGAAGATATCCGTGATTTTAAAATTTTAATTACACTGAAACAGATTACAAAACCTGTTAACCCGTCTGAATTTAGATCTATGTTACATTTACAGAAATGTAAAACCAACAGCTATAATCGAAAAAAACAATTCTCGGTGAGATTATCTGTACACAGAACATTGAACTAGAACGCTGTATATATTAATATATGAGTGTCTCATTATTGAGGTCGAGAAACATTTCGTGGTTTCTCTCGGTATTTCCTGGTCATTTCCGCGAATCACGGAAAGGGAAAGTTATTTGGTTTACATTAGCCTTAGTTGTTGTATTGAATTCCTCTTAAAATAATACATTTTCTCATTTCGTTTAACACAAATAAATTATCGATACCATTTTTAGACATGGTATTCGGCATATTGATTATATATATAGCAAATGACATAACTTATCTGCATTTAGATCTGTAGCAAAATTTTAAAAATATTGATGTCAGATGGTATCAATAGTCAATACCCTCAATTCTCCACAAGATTTAAATAAATCAACATTTCAGTTATTCTGTACTAAAAAATGTTTATTGGTTTGTATTGGTTAACTTCCATTAAAATGAAACTTGTTTTTGCTGGGTAAAAATATTTTCATAAGAAAATGTAAATTTTAAAAACTATTTTTCATTGTTCATCCGGATTTGGTACAAGTTACACCAATAAGTAATGCACACAATACAGTAATGTATTTCTGTACACTTTAAAGTCTGATGTTAAAGCTATAAACCGGTATCATTGTTTCAGTTCATACACACGGTAAAACAAATCAATTATAAATATAACATCATCACACGGATTATTATTTAACTTATATATGTAAGCATATACATTGTTGTCTCCATATATATATTGGATGTTAAATGATTTTGTGAAACTAGTTTTTGATTTTTTGATTTTGCTTTTTTCGAGCTTTGATAAGCAGGAACTAAAACTAGACACGTTAAATATAACGTTGGAATATAACCAAGATATGCACACGATCACACATACAGTATATTAGGAGAATATAACCGGGACATACACACGGTCAAACAAACAGTATATTATGAGAATATAACAGGGACATACACACGGTCAAACATACAGTATATTAGGAGAATATAACCGGGCATACAAACGGTCAAACATACCGTATATTAGGAGAATATAACAGGGATATACACACGGTCAAACATTCAGTATATTAGGAAAATTTCACATGGACGTACACAATGTCAAACATACAGTATATTAAGAGAATATAACAGGGATATACACACGGTCAAACATAAAGTATATTAGGAGAATATAACCAGGATAAACACACGGTCAAACATACAGTATATTAGGAGAATATAACGGGTCTATACACACGGTCAAACATATAGTATATTAGGAGAATATAACCAGGATATACACACGGTGAAACATACAGTATATTAGGAGAATATAACCAGGATATACACACGGTCAAACATACAGTATATTAGGAGAATATAACCAGGATATACACACGGTCAAACATACAGTATATTAGGAGAATATAACAGGGATATACACACGGTCAAACATACAGTATATTAGGAGAATATAACAGGGATATACACACGGTCAAACATACAGTATATTAGGAGAATATAACCAGGATATACACACGGTCAAACATACAGTATATTAGGAGAATATTGCAGGGACATAAACACGGTCAAACATACATTATATTAGGAGAATATAGCAGGGACATACACAAACATACAGCATATCAGGAGAATTTCATATGGACGTATACAATGTCAAACATACAGTATATTAGGAGAATATAACAGGGATATACACACGGTCAAACATATAGTATATTAGGAGAATATAACAGGGACATTGACAAGAATACAGTATATTAGGAGAATATAACGGGGATATACATACGGTCATACATACAGTATATTAGGAGAATATAACAAGGGACATACATACGGTCAAACATACAGTATATTAGGAGAATATAACCAGGATATACACACGGTCAAACATACAGTATATTAGGAGAATATAACAAGGGACATACACACGGTCAAACATACAGTGTATTAGAAAAATATAGCAGGGACATACACACGGTCAAACATACAGTATATTAGGAGAATATAACAGGGAAATACACACGGTCACACATACAGCATATCAGGAGAATATAACCAGGATATACACACGGTCAAACATACAGTATATTAGGAGAATATAACCGGGCATACACACGGTCAAACATACCATATATTAGGAGAATATAACCAGGACACACACACGGTCAAACATACATTATATTAGGAGAATATAGCGGGGACATACACAAACATACAGCATATCAGGAGAATATTACAGGGACAAATACACGGTCAAACATACAGTATATTGGGAGAATCTAACAAGGCCATAGAAACGGTCACATATACAGTATATTAGGAGAATTTCACATCGACGTACACAATGTCAAACATACAGTATATTGAGAGAATATAACGGGGATATACTCACAGTCAAACATACAGTATATTAGGAGAATATAACGGGGATATACACACGGTCAAACATACAGTATATTAGGAGAATATAACCAGGACATACACACGGTCAAACATACAGTATATTAGGAGAATATAACACACGGTCAAACATACAGTATATTAGGAGAATATAACACACGGTCAAACATACAGTATATTAGGAGAATATAACAGGGATATACACACGGTCAAACATACAGTATATTAGAATATAACCAGAATACACACGGTAAACATACAGGGAGGATATACACACGTTCAAACATACAGTATATTAGGAGAATATAACGGGGATATACACACGGTCAAATATACAGAATATTAGGAGAATATAACCAGGACATACACACGGTCAAACATACAGTATATTAGGAGAATATAACCAGGATATACACACGGTCAAACATACAGTATATTAGGAGAATATAACCGGGACATACACACGGTCAAACATACAGTATATTAGGAGAATATAAAAGGGATATACACACGGTCAAACATACAGTATATTAGGAGAATATAACAGGGATATACACACGGTCAAACATACAGTATATTCGGAGAATATAACCAGGATATACACACGGTCAAACATACAGTATATTAGGAGAATATAACCGGGACATACACACGGTCAAACATACAGTATATTACGAGATAATAATAGGGAAATACACACGGTCACCCATTCAGCATATCAGGAGAATATAACCGGGACAATATAACGGTCACAATACAGAATATTACGAGAATATAACCAGGATATACACACAGTCAAACATACAGTATATTAGGAGAATATAACGGGGATATACACACGGTCAAACATACAGTATATTAGGAGAATATAATCATGACATACACACGGTCAAACATACAGTATATTATGAGAATATAACGGGGACATACACATGGTCAAACATACAGTATATTAGGAGAATATAACGGGGATAT